GGGCGCGGGAGGGGGCGGGGGGTGGGGGGGGGGGGGGGGGGGGGGGGGGGGGGGGGGGGGCAGCTGAGCGACAAATGCACACCCTCCCCCTCCTTTTTTTTGTTTGGAAAATAGTTTTTCTCGTCCTGGCTGAATCCCCTCTCTCTTTTTTTTTCCTGAAAAAAAAAAAAAACAAACCAAAAACCAACCAAATCCCAAACCAACCAACCAAATCCCGCAGAACAATTCGTTGAGAAATCCTCTTGCGCCCAGCCTTTGAGTGACTTATCCAGCCTGGACCCTCACGGGGATTTTAGCACCAGCCCTTCATCCCTGTGCACCGAGCCCCTCATCCCCACCAGCCCCATCATCCCCAGCGAGGAGATGGCCAAAATTTCCTGCAGCCTGGAGACCAAAGAGCTCTGGGACAAGTTTCACGAACTGGGAACTGAGATGATCATCACCAAATCCGGGAGGTAAGGCTTTCTTTCTAAAAGTGGGTTTGGAGGGGCGGTGTGTGTGGAAAAAAAAGGCAAAACACACAAAATCCCCACAGTTTCTATTTTAGGAGAGCATCGCGGATGGCCTAAGGGGAAGAGGAGGAGGGTGAAGCCCCTTAATTGCCGCCGCGGAGGTCAGCAGCCCCTCGGCGGGTGCTGCGCTGTGCGCGGAGGCGAGCGGGGGGCAGAGGGAGAAGCGGCCGGCTCAAATCAACCCGGAGGCGGGGAGGGGCGGTGTCCCAGGAGCTGGGTAGAAATATAGTTTCCCTAATAATTTGGTCCGTAGCTAAAAGCTGCTTTGTGTGGTGCGGTGATTTTTGCGGGGCTGGGTGGGTACAGACAGAGGGAAATAGGGCGGTCGTGGGGAAATCATTCAGTCAGGGCTCGGTTCGGTTTGGTTTTCTTTTCTCTGAGTTGCAAAAATGTGCAAAAGAATCCCAGGCTTTCTCGTCACCTCACACCATGTTGTTTCTTCAGTAAGGCTTTTAGGGTTTGGGCAGTCCGGAGGAGCCCAGTGTCTTGTCGGGTTTTGTAATCCCCAAAGTTACTTGTTATTAATGTAGTTCCCTGCCTATTTTTTTTTTATTAACAAGCTCTTCCAGCAAGTGCTATAAAAAAATATTTTAAAAAGTACGTATAAAATCTACAATCCGGAGTTCAAAATTTTAAACTGTTTAAAGTTAGTTATTTCTGGTCTATGGCAAAACCTTACATTTTAAAGTTGTGTTTTGTCAAAATTTAAGTGAAGAAAGGAAAGTTTACGTTTGAAAATCCCCTCAGAAATATCCTGAGCAGGCTTAAAAGAACATGCATGTAAAATATGTGAGAATATTAACAGAAATAACTTCTGCAATATTTCCCTAACACTTCTATGGATCCCATTAAAAAAATCCACATTTCTAAGGATTTATGTACCTTAGGTATGACTATTTTCTGAAATCGTAGTGTCCTTTTAACTAACAGCCAAAAAGCACATTTCTCCTTTACTCTTTCACTTTTACCATTTTTGCTTTTTTTGCTTCCAAAAAATCGTTCTGAATGCAAGCTGCAATTTCTGTCTGTATGAGGGAGATACACAGGATTTAACTTCTGTCATGCTAAAGCAGAACCAATAGATGCTTTATTTATTTTTTTTTTCAGGTAGTTTAAATTCAATTCTTACTTTTAGCAGCTTTTCAGAAGCTCTCTTATTTCTGTTCTCCATCCATGTATTTATTTTCTGATTTGCCTTTATTTCAGGAGAATGTTTCCTACGATCAGGGTTTCCTTCTCTGGAGTGGATCCTGAAGCCAAGTACATTGTGTTAATGGATATAGTTCCTGTGGACAATAAAAGATACAGATATGCCTACCACAGGTCTTCCTGGTTAGTGGCTGGAAAAGCTGACCCTCCACTCCCTGCAAGGTATGTAGATTTTACTGCTGGTCTTTCTTTTACTTACTTTACTTTTTTTTCTTTTTCTTTTTTCCTTCAAGAAATACCTGCTATTAATCTTTCCATACTGTTTGCAAACAGTGTTCTGAGACTTTGTGTCCATGCTCAACAAAGTTGTTTGCAAAACTCTGATTAATTTCTGTGATGCAGAATCGGGCCTCAAACCTCTGCTTGAGGCTTGATTTATACTGAACGTTCCAACCATGCAGGGTTTGGCTAAATGCCCTTTTATATATATATGTATGTATGTATGTATGTATGTATTTTAAATGTAGTTTGCCTCAATTCAGATAAGAAAGCTTAAAAAAAAAAAAAGATATTGATTTTTCTTTTGGGTTTGCCCCCCACCCCCAGCATTTGACCTCGTAATTTAAAGCAATCCAAGCACCACCAGCCAAGTCCAAGTAGAAATACTACATTACAGTTCAGTGCTGTTTATGCTTGAACTGATATTATTTCTTGATAACATATCCAGCATTTGCTAACGGATGATTTTATCCTTGCTTTTAGTCACCTCTTAGATAGCAGGCAAAGTATTGATCAGTTCTACAGCACAGAGATTTATTTTTTTCTGTTAAGAAATCATGACATTTTCCGAGACATTAGGAAAAAATAAGTGAATCTAAATCTGTGTCCCCCCCCCGCCTTTCAATACAGAAACAAAATGCTGTAGAAAACTAATTTCTAAAATCATTCTGTTAATGTAATTAATGACAGACTCCTTGCAGCATTGGGAAGCTGAGGCTGCAGCACTAGGCTGTATGGTAGGAGGGCACTTCAGCAGAGACCCACACTTCACTGTATTCAGCCCGGCACTTCAGTAGATACTTAAGTCCCCAAGTCCAGTTAAGACTGAAGCACATGTCGAACGACTTTGCTGAGTCAGAGCCAGAGATATGGAAATAACATGAATGCCTCTCTGGCTTCAAAGAAACTTTTCGTGGGGGGCTCCACACAGGCACACAGATCCGCTCCAGGTGGCTCAGCCCAGCGTTAAGAACTTGCTTATTACAGGGACAGAAATTAGAAGTGAAATGCAAGAAATGGAAGCACATTTTTGTGTGTGTGTGAGTATAGGGACCGAATCCTGCACACTTTCCTCATATAAACAGTTCACTGAAAGCTTGCTGACTGCTGATCTCTGGAAGGCGGCTCAGGGAAGTAAACAAACAAAAAGTGCATGCAGAGAAGCTGTGATTAAAGACAGCAACCTAGGAGTTATGTTGGCTTTGTTTTCATGGCCAAAAACTCCTTCTTGCAATGTGGTGGTTAACGTCTGAGGGCTTCATTTGACGTATTGTAATGGGCACTGATCAAAACCCAAAGAAAAAATGTGGATCCTGCTCCAAAGGAGTCAGCATCAAAAGAAGAAATAAGGGAAGGACAGAAATAGTTTTAAGGCAGGGTTCTCCCCTTCTTATTTTTCTGTTCAAGTGCCTTTTGGAATACCTTTAAACAGATTGCTAATTTACACTGGCATAGACTAGTTCAATGAAGAAATACAAGAATATAAGGCAAGACATTGATCCTTGGAATAATTAGCAGCCGCCCTACTGAGTGTTTTAGAGCTGGGGCCAAACCTCCTTGGAGTTTATTATCATCATACTGTGGTAGCTCTTTAAGGTCCCCATCAGATCAGTGCCCCTCTGCACAAATGTATATCTGTGCTGTTTCATTTTCGGGATGTTTTCAGGATGTTTTGCCCCTGTGTGTAAATGTATACCTTTCATGTTTTGTTTTCAGGATGCTTAACCAAAAGACCATTGATCATAGCACAGGCACAGATTACTTTTTCTTTGTATGAAGGGGACTTACAAATACATTTATGCACTTTCTCCTTTTTATGCTCCTGTTTGGTGAGAAAAAGGATGTCAAGAGGTTCAGCGTGCTGACATTTGCATTACTATTGCTTTTTCTGAAGCATTAATGCATCTTTTGAGGTGGGATACCTCAGTCTTGCTCAAACAGATTAAAAGTAGTACTCCTCCCATCTTGAAACGGGTTTGATCTTGCTCCAGTAACAGGAGCCCTTAATGAAGTTACAATTTCTTGTCCTCCAAACTCACTGTTTTAGCTCTCCTTACTTGAGGAGTGTCAGCGAGGGGCATATGTGCACTTAGCATCTGGACACTGGTGCCAAGGTGCTGACTCCCCACGCACATCACTGCCTGCATCTGCATAGGCACGATGGCATCAGGGGAATTACTCAGGAGTCATCTTGTGCATGGGTGTAAGACTTTGCAGGATCGAACCCGTTAAATGTTTTGCTCTTTCCATTATAAAAATAACTTTCAACTATAAGACAGCTTTTTTTTTCCCCCAAATTAATAAGTATTCTGTGATTCTGTTTGAAAGATTAGCCCTTCAGGGAACTTTCTGTAAAAACCAGTTTTATCCCTGTCTTCCTACTGTCAATGTTTAAGACAAGTTTATGTTGCAACAAACACTTAAATAAAAATACTTTTCAGAGAGTCTTTTGTAAATCTTCTGAAGTGCTATCTGGGGAGAGAATTCCTATGGGATATTTTATGTTTGTTCTTCTAAATTGCTAAGACTGTGTGAAACATCAGTTTAATAAGTTTCAGCATGCACCTTTATTTGCTCTTCTTCCTTTTTCACCTGCTTTCTTTTGTTCAAAAGTCTGTCTTTTTTTTTTTAAATTTTTTTTTTTTTACTGTATTTGGCTACAGTCATTTGTTTAATGAAGTTAGTTTTTATGTGCTTACAGAGAACTCTAGGTAGGAAACATTTAAAAGGTATATTTTGCAAATTATTCAAGACATTAAGGTAATTAAAAGCAGCATGCACAGGGCTTGTAGGTCCAGACCAACTGTTAAACTAAATAGGAGAGCAGTGTCGCATTCCAAAATATGCCAGAAGGAAGCAGTACCCAAACCTCACATATATCATGAAACACTATATACTGTGGAGGAAATTCACATCCAAATATGGCTCCTAAAGCCTTTGTGAATTGAAGCGAGAAGCTCCTGGTGTCTGGCCGGCCATGGGCAGCAGAGCCCCTGGCAAACTGCTGGGGGAGCCTTGTGTGCTGCGCTGGAGTGTGCACGTTTATTTCTCTAACCCGTTTGCTCACAATCTTCTTGATGACTTCTGCTTCAGAGGGCTATATGTCTAGTTTTCAGCCTTCTTCTCCAAGGTGTACAAGCTCAGGCCATAGGAGAAGTGTGCGGATAAGTGTAGTTCACCAGGTGGGACCACGTGTTGCAGTGGGATTGACAGCGCGTAGCAAATCAGTAAAGAAAAGCAGGGTCTATTAATACATTTATGTAACTGATATTCAGGTGCCCATCCTTCAGTGACTTTCCCGTTAGCACTCCGCTGACATCCAGGCACTTCGCAGTTTGAGAGCTGTGCCAAGCATTAACCGCCTATGGTGTAAAACGATTGTGCTCAGCTTTTAGACACATGAAGATCTTTACTCATTCCCCAGCACACATTTGAAATAGTTCAGCTTTTTGGTCCCAATTAGCCAAACCTTGCTCAGCCTGACACTCTGTGATCACAGTAAACATTATTAGCTATCCAGACATTCAAAATTAGAAGTGGGGCTCAAAAAAAAAAAAAAAAATCACAAGACTAGCTGAAAGCTTGCAGGACATGTTTAGGACTCTTTGTTTTGCCTTCTCTAATTCAAGGCTCTAAAGATTGAGATTTTCACAGCTTTTTATATGAAGGCAAAGTTAATTTTCATGAGAAGTAAAATTCTTTTGACGTAACAGGATTCCAGGTCTTGGGTTTTCAGATACATCATAATTTTTCATGAGCCTTGCAGTGCAATCAGCAGAGTCGATAGCAGTGAGGATGCTTGTATGCTAGGAATATTTTATTGTGACAGGAACCCTGGCTCAGCATCCCTCCCGTGGACATAGCTATACCAGCCAAGCTGTGCTTTGGATCAATGTAAGGAAAACATCCTCCACATCTGAAGCAAGCTGTGCTGGTAAAACTTTAGTTTCACTGTGTCTTGGGGATTATGCTGGCAAAACTGGAGAGTGCAGGATCAAATCTCCTTCCTCTTTGAGCAACAAAGCTGTGCTCCCCGGAGTCTCTAGTACAGGCATTCCTTGATTAGGGATCAGCATAGTCTATCAAAGTGTTACGCCCCATCATTCAGTGGTTTTTCCATTCTCCTCTTGCCTAACCAAGACCGGAGCTCAACAACAACAGCAAATGTTTATCTTTCTAACCCAGCATCTCAGCGCTGCCCCACCCACCTAATGGAAGAAATCCATCTGTGTGTCCAAAGACATCACCCAAAATGAGAGCCAAGCCCTCAGCGAGTGATAACCAACACTGGCAAAAGCAGAACAGGTCTGGTTTTCACTAGCTGAAGGTCTAGTTCAGCTCTTAATTCACTATCACAAAAGAACGTTTGAGTTAGTTAAATCATTTTCAGCAATACATTATTCCTATAAAATCACTGTTTTTAAATAGCCTGGCACTTGTAATTAGTCTAGTCATAATGTATATATCATTGTATCTACATGTCTTCTGTGCTTCCTTTTCTTCTGCTTAATTTCCCAAGTGGTGGGTTGTTAATTACAGAGCTGCAATTAATTTTTCACGTCAGACCGCTGTGCTGGACTGCAGCCTTCAACCTCTTATAAACAGATGTCACCGCAGCTAATGTGTGATTGAGTGCAGGTTAAAATCATTATCACAGCTTAATGTTACATATAAAGAAAAATGCATTTTTATCTACATTCCCCCATTATCTCTCTAATGACACTATGTTTTTTCTCTCGGAGCTGTAGTCATTGTTATTTTAAGTGCTTGTTAGTACAGCTGGGGGCAAAGACATGATCAATTTTTCATTTGGGAAAAGACACAACGGTGAATGTTAGTTAAGTCTCCATTTTAGATAATTAGATAAAATAATAGGTATGGTTAGAGAGCAATCTAGCACTCTGACACAGGATTCTTCATTACGTCCCAGTGAATTAAACAACTCAAGTCATCTGCTTTACTGTCTTTCATTAATGGTCGTATTTCAGGTGTTCATTACTTTGGGGGAGCTTGTGTCTTGTTTGAGTAGTAGATCTGTATTACCCTAAGCTCTCAGGAAATCCATGCCTGTGAAACCACCGCATACCCCAAAAGCAAGATATTACGGGCTTTTTAATTGCATACAGATGTGGTGCCCATGCGCAAGCCGAGAGGTGAGATTTTTTTTATGAGTAGGCCTTTTCCCTGTCTTTTTTAGGTTGTATGTGCACCCTGACTCCCCATTCACGGGAGAGCAACTGCTGAAGCAGATGGTGTCCTTCGAAAAAGTCAAACTCACCAACAACGAGCTGGATCAGCATGGCCACGTGAGTAGCTCTCCTGGTGGGAAAGGGTAAAGGAATCACTCGCTTGTGCCATAGGGCTGAGCTTGCGGGCGAGAGGCTGCGATGGGGAAAGTCTGCCATGGACCCCACGTTACACCTTTCTTGGCTGGCCCTTTGTACCGCAGTGGAGGAGGATGCTATGTGAAGCTTTAACGTGTTGGGTTCTAATCTCTGCTGACGAGAAACGAGTGACTTCAGAAATGAGGTTTTTTCACTTTTCATAACATAGAGCCCAGGTCAACACAAGCGTTCAAATTATGCTCCTTTGGCCATCAGAGGCAGCACATCCATTGGGGAGAGAAGTTCAGGGTGGAGTGGAGCATCAAAGTATGGGAGGGAAGGGAAGGAGGGGAGCTTTTTGTCATGCTTCTGCCCACATTTTGCTGTGACATGGCAGTGTACACTCTGCCACATGCACTGTTTAGCAAGCTCACATGCTTTTCCATGTGTGCTTGGAAGCTCCCTCTCATTACAGGCAACCTCTTGGGGTTGGGTCCTTCAATAGGGGCTCTTTTACTCCCAGACTCAATGCAGCATGGGCACAGAGTCAGCAGAAAATACTGGTGCGACACCAAAACAAAGGCTGTTGAATTATAAAAATAAGTGTGCTTCAGCTGCCCTTGAAATAACTGTAGGCTATCTGCAAGTTAAGGTGCCACAGGGTGGGCTTGGGCCTCTAAAGGAAACAGGTCCCTGCCCTAATCAGTACCAGTTTGTTGTCACAAGCCCTGCGGCTGGAAGCTGGTAAATAGGATGCAGAGCTGCTGGCCATGGGCTCCCACTATGCTCCATCAGCGGGGGCAACCCCTTTAGCTACCTGACTGTCTAATGGTAGGTGGTAAGAAAAAGTGTTGTCTGTCCTGTGCCCTCCCCCAAAAGTGGCCGTAAAGTGCAGGAATGGCTTGGTAGTGCCTCCAGATTGCAAAAGAAGAGCTAAAAGAATTTTCTCTGGGCTCGGTGATTCTCCAGGGGAAGAATGAAGGAGCAAGGGGATGGATCTGAAAGGGTTGTTGGCTGAGAACGGGGCAGTTAAGAAGAGTGAGTGTAAAGGCAGTGTTAGTAAACGAGGTGTCAGGAAGAGAAGAGTGATTTTGAATGCTGAAGCACATGTAGGCATAACTAACCTGTAAAGCTGAACAATTGTGGTATACACGGTGTCAGAAATCCCTCCCCTAGTGTGGCATTTATTGCCTGTTTGGACTGTGTGAGACAGTGGCCGTTTGTCTGACCTGTGTTCTCTGCAAATGCTTCTCATCTGCAAGAGAATTTTTACTCATTTCAAGACCTAAGAATTGAACCACAGCCATGATCATTCAAAATACATCCCAGAAACAACAACAAAAGTAGTTTAAAAAAACCAGAAAAGGAAAGAAAGCCCAGATAGATGCCTCTGTGTTGTTCTTTGTAAAGATCTGTCTGTGGGTATATTTTTCTTGAATCTGGTTCCCACCGTTGTTCCTCTCCTGACTAGCGGAGAATGTCTTCTTTTTTTTCCTTCTCTCTTTTATTTCATAATGTGTAGAAGGGCAAAGCTGAAGATTTGTGGGCTCTATCACTGAGTGATGATAGAGCAGTATATGTGAGCATTTAAAAAGAAGCATTTTTCATCATAACAGGGGCCATGTGTGCCTCTAATAAAGGGCTCGCAGCAGTATATTGCAAACTAGTTAGGAGCAGTCCAGTTCCCAGAAGCCCAGACGAGTATAAAAATGAAGTAGGTCTGAGAAGCTGTCGGGAACAGAGACATGTGACAGAGCAAGAAGACGTAATTGTCTCAAATACAGGCAGTGGGAGAAAATGATCTGTAGGGTTTGAGATACAGCCTCCCAATTAACTTTCCATGAAGCAGCGGAGGTGGATCCCATTCTGTACGTGAAGGCTTTGGACAGCTGAAGTCGATGGAAAGTTTTGCATGTTCAGTTAAGAAGAATAAGCCCCGAAGGCTTGATCCCATGTTGAGATTTGCATGGCAGGTGTTTATGCCTTCGCGGAGCACTCCCTTTTTTAATATTTTGTGGGGTTTTATGTTCCAAATTAGGGTGTCAGGTTTTATGTGCTGCCTTATTGAAGCTATGTAAGTACCATCATTGGGTGCTCAGTAGAATTAAGAAAGAAACTCATTCTCTGGAGCCTTTAAGGAGGACTCACTGTGCCATGGTCAACAGCATTTCTGAGCTCTTGTGTACTAAGAGAAGGGGAGAATCGAAATGCTTCCTGCAACCTCTCCCTTCAGTTTGAAAGAGCCCTTCCTCACTGAAAAAAAAAAGTTTTTAATTGACCTGCTAAAATCTCAGTTGTGTTTGATAAGGCATGTTGGTTCCCAAGGCAGTTTTAATGATCTAAAAGATGCCTTTAAGTACTAGTTATAGGTAGAGAAGCTGGATCCAACCTGAGTCCAGTTTGTTCTAGTTGCTTGCTTTCTCCATCCTCCAGAAGACAGTTTTGGTTGTTAAGGTAATTGTGGTATTTTATTTGTAGGGTGGTTCATTTCCTGAAAAGGAATCTGAAGAGAAGAGAGGCATTTGTTTGTGCTAGCATTTGTTTGTTTTCTCTTATTCTGAGACTTTTGGAGTTGGCAAGCATCTCTGCTTGTGTATCCTCAACAGCATACATAACCCCATAGCTATGCACATATTCTCCCCCAGCATCAGGCAGAAGCCTTATCTCTGTGTGCATGACATACGGCTTGCTCCATGGAAACACTTTCAGATCTCCTTACCAGAGGAAGGAAATGGCTCCCATCTCTGGATTTTTACAGCTGAGCAAGTAATTCCCATTTTTCTGGTCATGGAACATTTATGAACGTGATTTTTTTTCCAGATTTCACACAGACTGCTTCTTTTAGGAATTTCGGTTGCATTTAGTTGGGGTGGCATAATTTCTGGTTTATGGTGAGGTGAACCATGACTGTATATATTATCGTAATTGCTTTTCTGGCATTTATGGCAGCAAAACTCAAACACATGAAAGTTTGCAAAAGCAAACACAAAGGTGTGAATGTGGCCAACAAATAACTGTGAAAGCAGGGGTTTCAGAACAGCCACAAGGAGTTATGCCCAGGGGGTTTATTTAAAGTCAACCTGGCAGAAGTTAGGAACCTCCCTGCTTTTAGAAAGCAAACTTTGCCTGGTAACACTCTTCTTCGGTGAATATGGAAGTCGCATTCACAGCATAGTTCCTGAATTCAAAGCCACCTCAAGGGTTTTGCAGCTGGCATCCAGATTGCCTCTGGTGACCAGCCTGTAGCCAGTGGGAGCCAGATGCCTACAAACCTGCCTGACCTTACAGCAAACAGGATCCCATAAGGACGGATCCTGGTCATCTCCCCTGCTGCAGGCTGTCAGCACGAAGGATGGCTGGCGGCCTGTGACCACGCTGTACTGCTGGTAAGCATGTGCCAGGGGGCTACTGTAAGTATATGCGCACCTGCTGTTTCCCTTGGGGCACACCAGCACGAATATCGCAGAGCTGGCATCAGGGATTTTCTGATAGCTACACCATGCAGGTAGGGGACTGCTTGGACTCTGAGACCACTCTCAAGGGCTACTTCGGGAGATGCACCCTGTGTATGTAACTCCTTTAGACTGTTTCAATGGTCCTAATGTAAGAAGTTGCATGGATATTAAGGGGTACCTTTGTGCAGTATCCTGCAGACTTTAGTATCAGCCAGTACTGTAACGTTGGCAGCCTGTGTGGGGATGCAGATAGAGCACTACATACACACACCCACACAAAAAGGAAATAGTGGCCTTAACCTTGGCTTTGGGTCTTTTGTGACCTCCTGACTACATTCAGTACTTGTTTTGTAGCTGAATGACCCGACTTGCCTCTGGTGGGAATGTGTAGGGTAGAGCATCGTGGCAGGGGATGTCATCCATGTGCACTTCTGGTTTCAGGAAACTTTCATAAAGGATTATGCGGTCTTGTTTGAGAAATTGAGTTTCTTTATTACAGTTTGCATTCATAGAGGAGTGAAAGGAAAGGGCATGTGTGGGAGCTGCTCTGTCACGGCTTTTTCCTCCTCCCACTTGGCTGCTGCTCAGATGTAATGCCTTGGTGTGAATATTGCGGCCATGAAAGGCAATGGGAAGCGCTGAGCTCTGTGGGCCAACCCTTCAGTAAGCTCATCACCATCTGCACACTGTCCTTTAAAATGTCATTTCCAGCTGCTTAGAGCAGCCCAAGTGACTAGGATGGTAGGACAAAATTTTACAAAGAGAGGGAAAAGTGCTAAGGATGTTAAAGGCAAGGTCAATGGTCGTTGTGTGTGTGTATACATAAAATGGTGAAGTGATTTGAGAAAGGACATGAGCTAGTAAAAGCAGACACGCAACATTTTCAGGACAATGGTTCCCCATCACTGTAATGACTTTCTTGTTGCTGTGTGCCCCCCACAAAGTCACAGTGCGAGTCTTAGCAATGTTTGGACCTGAAGGAGCAGCGAAGAAAACGCTGATGGAAATTTTAGCCATGACAAAGCTGTCTCTAAGCTCTCCACTCCAATGCGACGTGCAACCTTTCTCATTGACTGAGTTAGCATGAAACACTGCACCACTTCTGCTGTGTTTCAGCTGAAGTTAACGCTTCCTGAGGAATGCACATTAGCTATTCCAGATGTACAGAGCTGACTGTAACGTCGTTATGGCCCCTGCAAAATAGAACCACCCACACCATTGCCAGTTTAGTCTTGTGACTGTGATTATATCCAAAACAAGGACTGGTGCAAGCCGAGCTCTGTATTTAATTCTTATATTGTAATACTGTGGTTACAGACAGCCAAACAAGCCTCCAGCCAGTGGTAACTGAAGCAAATGGGACTCTTGGTTTGACTCCGGTGAATGTTGAAATTGGTTACTTGGTACATTAGGTTTAGAATTGTTTGGGGAGCTTGCAAACAATTATTAAGGAGGATAAAATAGCAAACCCTGGTTATCTGGGGGTTCTGTACTGGTTTCCCTCCTTGCCCTAATTTTTGGTAGTCTGTGGTGAAGAGCATCTACAAAGTAGTTTGCTTTAAAGGTTTGCCACAGTAGAAGGATCTGGGGAGTTTTGGTTTTGGTCAGCTGGTTTGTGATGCCAGTGGTGGTGGTTTTCTGGTTGGGTTTTATTTTCTTCTGGTTTTTTTGAGGGGTTCCTGGCTGTTTTCATTCTGCACCTGTACATTTTTGCAAGTGTGGATTCTTGGTCATGAGCTTTCAAGTGTTACATATTTACATTTGCAGCTGACACCTGCAAACTGGGGCACATGCTAGCAATAACAAATTCTTATGTAAAACACCTCACCTGCAGGAACAGGTATCTATGCTTCAAAAAGCATGTGCTCAACAGTTGTGTAGGAGGGAGAGGAAACTAGCTCCTGGGATGCCTGCTTTTCCACCTTCATTGTCTGGAACTGCCTGAAGGAGCTGGAGAGTTTGCTCTGAAAATCAGCCCCTGGCTAGTTAGCTCTCAGATGTCTCCCCTGCAGTGTTAATTAGATCTTCCCCCCCCCCTACGGTTTTATAGCCTTCGAGGGTCCTGTTAACCTCCCTCTCAGGACAGTGCCTTGTCACTCTTTCTTGCAGATCATTTTGAACTCCATGCACAAGTACCAGCCAAGGGTCCACATTATTAAGAAGAAGGATCACACAGCTTCTTTGCTAAATCTGAAATCGGAAGAGTTCAGGACATTTATCTTTCCAGAAACAGTTTTTACCGCTGTTACCGCCTACCAGAATCAACTGGTGAGTACAGTTGCTAATTTCCATCGATTGAACTAAATTCCAACCTGCTGAAAACTTTCTTTTCCTCAATCTAAACTAGGAAACTTTCTGATATAACCTACCTTTCCATGCCAATGTCTGTAGTGACCATGCCCAATCTAATCCATGTTCAGGAGTAATTCTTGTGTGTATGGATAGTACTACTAACTTCAAAGAGCCATGAGGATTATGCATGGGAGCAAAGATGGCATGAAAGAGGCTTTCATTTGTCTTCCCTTCTGTCTATACAAAGCTGTTTTCATATTGTCATTCAGTGCTTTTCTAATTATAGCTCATTAAGGAGCTGTTCGTTCTTGCCGTGATCTTTCACTCCACAAGCTGTTAGCTGAGAGATACTCTGGTTTGCACATGATGATTTCATGGGCTGAAAAAGTTGACTAATTAAGCTGTAAGGCTCAAACGTAAGGGAAATCACTCAGAGATATGCTTTTCAGAGGCTGCCCAGATTACATCCAGATGTTCGAATTTCAATTTGCATGCCAGTGAATAATATATACAAAATGGAGGAAATCATAACAATGGATTGCTAATGAGTAATTTTAGGAAGTATATAAACAATCGGAGAGCAGAGGCTCTGCTTGATGGTGGATAGGGCTTTAATATTTAAGTCAGTGGAAATAGATTGTTGGCTTCAGTGTGATTCAGAGTGTGCTTTAAGGGCTTAATGACTATGGTGCTTAAAAAAAATACCTCTTTCCCTTTCTAATTCCCCCAAGTTAAGAAAAATACAAGTACTGTCCAAACATGTGGGCAGGCAGCATCACAGAGTTAATGTACCTGCTGGATTATTTAAAGAAGTCTGCATTTGTTAATATGAAGCAAAAGTAACTAATTTCTAAATGCTCTGAATAAAATGAAACTACTGCATAGGCGGCCAAGGAAGCTGTGAAGATAATACTGGTAGTATTATGCCAGTCCTTATGACAGACCCCACATCCCACTTTAGGGCTTTAATAGCAGAATGTATGGATTTGAAACTCAGGTTTGTATCTGAATGCTGTAGAAAATACATTCAGTACCTGGCAGTCTCAAGAATATAATGTTCGGACACGTGGTTAGATTTTTCCATGTAACTTTCTGTAGAAACCAGCAAAATAGTAACAGGCACAAAACCAGCTAAACCTGGAATTTATTTCTGTAAGATGGATTTGTGTTTACTGATGATACTTACACCAGAGATGTTTCTAAACTAACCTTCCCAAAGCACATACATTGAGTCCTGCAAAATTTCTCAATGGAACATCTCCGGAACCCCTAGAGGTTGATGCTGTCATTTTATTTATGACTAATGAAAATGGAGCCTTTTTTCATTTTTGCCATTTCTTTCGGAACTGTTTTAAGGAGGGATTGATTACATTTCTGGAGGTTATTAGATAAAAGCTAAATACATTACACTTTCAACAAACTATCTCATAATTTAAGATTTAAAGGGCATGCATTTATTCAGACAGTCAAACCACTGCCACAGAGTTGAATTGTAGGTCAGGTTTCATTTTAAGATGCTTTCTAGCAGATGTTCTCTGATTGTTTGTAAGACAGTCTCTCAGGAAAAATATGGCCATAAATGATTGTGAGTCTCATCTGGCTTCGGTGGATAAAAAAAGTTTCTCTTGTGATGTCATACCAAATCTTTAATATTAGGAAAATGGAAGTTTGATTGGTGAAAATATGCTCAAGAGATGAATAGACATCCTTATTATTCTGCAGTGCAGTTGGCTTGGTGTGTTGGTGATCTAAGTCAGTGGAACTAGTTAGAGCTTGTCTTTTTTCAAGGTAGTTTTCAGAATGCTGCCATAAAAATGCTCACTGTACATAAGGCACTAACCTGCCACTCTTTCTAACACCACTGTGAGTCAAGGACTTACAGATACCTTGGGAGTAGAATGAGACTGTAACTACCTTGCTGAGCTGTTGCAAGGTCCTGTGACAAGGCTAGTGTTCAGGCTAGTTTCCACCAGTTCTACCTGTGTGAGGAGACAGGCTGAAACCTTCAGCCAGCACTGAGGTCCCATGCTGTTTGACTAGCCCACAGGAAGAACCAGTGAGTTGCAGCACCTCCTACGTAGGTGCCTCAGAGCAAGGACCTTGCCCAGAGAGGTCTTCCCCTTCCCTGTATGGACCCAAAATGCCGGGCAGGGAAGGCAGCAGCCCCAGGGTGCAGCGAGTTTCTCAAGAGTGGCAAAGTAGGTGGGTGGCAGTGACAGGAGCAGCCGCTCAGCACATTGTTCATATACTGCAGACCAGTATTAAATACTCAGGTTTTGTCTTTGTAAGCCTGTCCTTCCCTCTCTGTGTTTCCCTCCCAGAAGACCTCTTTCTCAGAATGAAAAGTTGTGTTCAGTTGTCCTCTTTTAATTTTGGACGAGAAGCCACCCCATTTTGAAATATCTTTGTTTGATGAGAGCATTTGATTGTTTGAGGATTTGGAAAAGATCCCTTTTCTTTCTGAGTCTCGAGGGCCAGCTATTACAAATGAGATTGAGGCCTCTTCAATACAGGCTTTTTTTGAGGAAAGCCAGGCTGACGTAGCCACTCAGTATGAAACACTGAGAGCTGTTGATTTTCATGGGCTTCAGCTAGAGTTGGTGGCATTCACTGTCTTGCAGGACAGGTCCTGTGTTGTCCCTTGTCAAGCTCTAACTCCCACTTACAGTTTTATTTTTAATCCTTGGAAGAAGTATGGCTGGAAAATCTGAATGTTACAATGATGTCTCAGGTTTTATTCACCAAATCTCATTTGGCTGGACAGCTAGAAAATTTCACAAGGGCAATGGTATATTTTCTTCCTGCTGCCAAAAAAACACAGTGGAAGCCACCACCTATGCCTGAAAAGTTTCACTGCAAAGTTAAGGGGAGCCCTGATCAGCAGGTTACTCTGGCAGAATGGAAAGGCTGACAGGATGCACTGGGCAGGTTTGTAGCTGCATTTGAAGAAGGGAGGAGAGTTTTGGTTCCAAGATCTCTGGTTTTCCAGGACTGTGATGGTTTTAATGGGGTTACTCCTTTTACTCAGGCTCTGTCACTTTAAATCTGAGTTCTCCCCATATTTTTCCTCCCTCCTTCCCTTCCTCAGCCTCTTTCCATGGAAAAACAGTTAAACTGCCCCTATGTGATGGCTGGTAGGTCTGGCTGAGAACATTTGCATCCCAGAAAAAAAAAAAAAAAAAAAAAAGAAGTGGGGCTGAACTGAAGCACTCTTCAGGTCTGCAGGCAGTGGCTCCTAGTTTGGGCTCATATTAGGTGATGTGCAGCTCCACTTAGGAGGCTCAGATGTTAGCAGGGTGCTGTGCATTGCTTGTGGAAAAGACAACCTGATTCATGCTGTTAAAGTATTTGGAAGCAGTAATGCTGTACATGGGTGGGTTCCTCCTGCTTTGGGTGACATGAAGGCTGAGCCCACTATGCCCTTCAGTCTTTGCATTGCCATATGTGTATTACACCCTGGTTTGTCTCGCCAGCTTTGCAGCATCTCAAGAGTAGCACGCATGCACACAAAGAGCATGGATAAAATTAGCAGTGAAGTCAGGAGGATGGATTGGTTAACACTTTGTATGCTGCAATACCTTAACACTATATTCATGTTGCATTGCTCCTTCTGTGTTTCCAGATAACCAAGTTGAAAATTGACAGCAACCCTTTTGCTAAAGGATTCCGGGACTCTTCCAGACTCACTGATATCGAGAGGTAATGGGGACTTTCTGTTTACTTTCCATGCAGATAAGATAAAGAGAAGAGAGTTTGTAGGAAAAGCATCCTTTCAACTCCTGAGAAGCTGTGCATTTTAACGTTATCTTGTTGCATATAGTAAGCCTCCTCCACCTCCTTTAAAAATACTTATAAACTTTATGAAGAAAGAGCTGTTTTGAGTTTTGACATCTGTTCCACTTGGGGCTGATATATTCATCTTCCTGAGGGGGCTTCTTAAAGTGGGGAGAGGGTTGGTTTTACAACTTCAGAATGAAAAGCTTTTTTCTTATCATGCCATTTAATCCTATTGAGGGCTGTGAATTGGGTCAATGGGAAACAAGGGCAGTGGTCCTGTGAAAAACATTATAGCTCCCCACTGCTCCACACAGTGGAAAAGAGAGGAGGGGAGCTTCCCAAAATACACTTCAGCAGTCCCAGACACTGAAGTCAGCAATTATTGCCATCAGGATGAATCCCATAACTCCCTCTGATGACAAAGATGCCATTTTTGTTTCACCAAAATTGTACTGCAGGCTGCATCAGGGGAAAACTTTATCTGGAAACTGTTGAGTTTTGTGTGTGTACAGCTCATTATAAGCAACTGCTGCCATAGGGACAGAAGCATTAACCCGCAGTTGAGTAGGAAATAAACTTCAATCTCTTGGTAGCTCTCCAGCACGTCACATTTTTATGATATCGTGTCAAATAGTTTGGCAAATGAAGCAAATTAAGCTGCCTGGATCCTTTAGGCTGGAAGAGAACTCGATGGAGATGGATATAGCACATCCAAATTTTCCTATGAGCACACAATCATGAAAGAAAGTTTGGAGAGGCCAAAACCCTCCAAGCTCCTGTGTGGGGATATCCAGATGTATCTGTGAATCATCTTTCACGGGTGCATATAGGGGACAAACTGCTCAATGAAGTCATGTCCATACAGCTAGAGAAAGCCTTTACAGCATTTCAAAAGTACATCAATCTAAGCAGGTCCATGGATGGGAAATAGTGGTATATTTTATACCTTACTAGTGACTGGATCATTAGTGATCCTTTGAGTGACTGGGTAAAAGAACAGTAATTTGGGGACAGCAAGCTTGTGGACTGCAGTACACACTTGCAAAGGTGTTAAAAATTGCTTCCTAAGTGAAAGCCTTCATTGAAAATGGAAAAAAACCCCACAAAGCAGATTTAATTAAAGTAGCATAACCTGCTGTATTGACAGACTGACAGAATGACACAAGTCATTCAGGCTGCAAACTGATAATTCATACACTTTATATCCTGTTCTGTATATTTTTTGGTGTTGAACTGAATGGCCAAATTGACAGACAGGTAAACAACATCCAAAGCTCAGGTTTGTATGCAATAAATAGTCCAGGAAGGACCTGTAGGAAGAGAAGAGACTTTGATTTTCACCCTTCAGTTTCCTTGTTTTACAGACAGGCGACATCTAATGACACAGCTTTGCAAGGGCTGAGAGAGTCTGAATAGATAAGCTGGGAGAAAAACTTAGTTACCTCGGTGCAGATGAACTGACTATTGTGGTGCTGGATATGAAGGGAATTTTTCAGAGGACATCTTATTATAACAGCACATGGCATGGAGTCAGAAATGCTGAGCATAAACTGCAGTGCCCTTTTGTTTATTGATAAGTGTAAGAACAGAGCCTGAGACAGGCAGCCTAGCCTAGGCACGAACATTGCCATGAAAGATAAGGTAGCCAAATGTGAAACTTACAATAAATACAAGAAACAGAAGGTGAAAAGTATTGAAATGACATTAAAACTCTGGATTTGAGAGTCCAGGTTTGGTTAAGGACTTATTTTGACTTAGATTGGAAAGCTTAGCCCTGATTAGGGATCAATGGTATTTAAAAAACACCAAAATCTGCTGCACAACACATCAAGTACTGAGATAGTAAGAGTGTGACACACAAGAGGGCTGGTAAGAGGCTGTTTGAGAATCGCCTAAGTTATCTGATATGGTCCAGAAATACCAAGGGTTTTATTCAGTTCCAGCATAACGTATTCAGGCAGATGAGAATGTCATTCTCTAAGTGCCCACTGGTTCTATAGATTTCATTTTAGCACCAGCAAAATTGCTTAAAGAAATCTGATATAAAGCAAAAGAAATAGCAAAGTGAGATACGACAACAGGAAGAATTTCTTGCTTGGTGTCCATCACGACAAGCATTACAACAGGTAGGTGATGCATTAAATAGTACAGCATGACTCTTGCTCAGTCTAGTTGGAAACTTAGTTAAGATCCCTGTCTGAGAAAAATATTTATTTGCCAGGGAAAAGACTACGCAGGCCAAATGCATGTTTGCACAGCTCTTGAAAATTGAATAGTTATCTAGAAGCTGTGAAAAATACCTTCCATGCACTGCTTCCTAAGCAGGCCTGCATGCAGCACATGCATGAATGATCTGCAGTGCTGTGCGGTGATCCTAATGGTCTTCTGTAAAAAATCCTGTGATGTTAGGGCCAAGAGAGCGCTCATTTATCGCGAGTTCCAGCTTTTCCGAATGACCTAAGTAGTGTGAAAGTGTACAGAGCTTTGTATTTCATTTCCAGGTATTTAAGCTTGCTTTTTCCTAAACAGCCTTCGGGGAGGGAAACAAATCAGATCAATTGATCTTTAGAGACCTAAAGAAATTAAATTAGTCTGGAGTCAGTTACTGCACTAAACCATCCAGTAATTGGATTGCTCCTTGTAACTGATTGAAAACAGCCTCTATCTGTAACAATATAGGGAGCTTTTCTTTATAGTAGATCTGAGAGAAAAACACATCTTTTTATGACATGATGACAGAAATTGCACTTTTTTAATCTAATTGAATATGATTTTATAAATATGTGACTTTAATGATTTCAGGCTTCCCATTCTAGATTTACGATCCTTATGTAGGAAATTCAAGCTGCAAATGCCTTTAGGATTAAATCTGTTTGTGTTATATGTGATGGAGTTAAAATAATATATGTAAAGGTAGTGAAATGTGCAAAATGGTGGGAGGTAGGCAACAGCAAAGCTATTGAAGTGCCTGTATTTTGTTTTATTCCTGTCTAAATACCTTACAACGGTTTTCTTGTACTCATAGCTGTATACACAAAGCTTTTAACTACTAAAAAAATCTTTGGTAAGTTTGGTATACATCGAATTTTCAGTAGGATGTGAGATTCCTTCCACAATCAACTCCTTCCATACATTACTTGTGGTAATCTATTTATGGCAATGGGGCAGACTTTTTCTGGGGCTACTGTGATTTAGGTAAGTTGCTGATTCAGCTTTTAATCTTTTTACTTGGTATTTACACTTCCTCTATTATAAAAAAGCTCCCACAGTGGTTGAGATTGAAAAACTGAACATATAGCAGCAATTGTCAGAATGTGGAGCTTAACGTACTGTGGAGTTGACTGTGGGATGCATAATGGAGTAATGTGGATGAGCATGACCTTTTTTAATGGTAGCCTTCGTGAAAAAGACTAATGCAGGTTTTATAATGAGCAATTCACTCTGTGGAGGTAGGCTTTAAGGGAATATCTTTATGTTTCCCCTTAATAAAAAACTGCCAGAGCCATAAAGGATGCAAAATCAGAACCCAACAGATTACTTCTTTTATCCTGAGCCTGAATTTATCTTTTGAGTTGTTGTAAAGTATTAGTCTTTTAAAAATAGGTAAATAAATAAAACCATCACAATTAAATATCATGCAAACAATCCAATGAAAAAGGTGATCGTTTCAAGAGTGTGAGTCCACAGAACTACTGAATTGTAAAATAATCATCAAACAAGAATCGACAGATCATAATCATGATCTGAACATTGCTTGTCTGTTCGATCCAGTATATGATAGGCAAGTTCAGGGTGTGGACTTGTAACTATTAAAGAGAACTAAGCAAGTATACCCATCTGCAAAGTCCAATAATGCTTCTGAGAGGTAGATACATACTTCAAGAGGCAATATGGAAAAGTACAGCTGCACACCCAAGTAATTTTTAGGCAGAGAAAGGAAGGATTGGGGGATGGGAGAAGTAAGAGAACTGCATCCCAGCATCCCAGCTGGATTTGCATGGTAATCAGATTCTGAATTTTCCCCTGAGGAACTTCATGTCTGAGATGTGGAAATACATTGTACTGGCTGACAAGGCTGTAAGTGAAATGGATGCTAATGCCCGGATATGGGCACTGCCCTGTTGAAGTAGCAGTCAAAGCCATGTGCTTAATGACGTGCTGTCCGCAGCAGTCCTCTCTTCCATCCCTTCCCCGGTCACCCCACAGAGCTGCCTTCCTCCCTATCCCCACTGCTTACTGCTGGTCTAGAAGAACTTCCCTGACTCTTGAAAGCCCCCTAACAACAGGCAGAAATATATACTCTCTACGACCTACTCCTATGTCCATGGTTAAGTAGAGCTTTGTCATAGTGCTCCAACAAGTCAAACTCCCCAGCTGATCCTTTATCCTCAGCTAGTTCTCGGTCCGCGTATGTCAGCAACCAGCCATGGGAGATCATCTCCGATGTTTAGGTTGGGAGAAGTGAAGTCCTGAATTTAGGGAGAAACACCAGGGACACTGGTGCCTAAATGCCACTGGTGCCATCCCAGATGTGCTGAGGTTACTCCAGCCTCCAGCTGCTACTCCAGAGGGGTAGATGGATTGTCTGTATTTTCTGCATCATCCCTTCCAGACCACTGCAGATGGCTTGGATGTCTTAGGACATGTAGAAAGCACTACTTGCCTACATTTAGACACCTGAAGCAATCCCTTCAAATCTGGTTCGTCTGCCTCTGCTTACTGTTAGCCAGGCAACTGTTCCTTTTCCCCAGCAGAAAGCCCTCCATGCTGGCTGAAACCTCTTCAGTTCCCAAGCTTTTAAGCACTCACACCCTGGCTCATTTTCCACTTAGGTATTATGTTATCTATCTTTTTACTTGTGCAAAAGGGTATAAAAATGTTTTATTTTGCTAGTGTTTTCCACTCACCTCGTGCAGGTGTAG